GTTTACAAGTATACACAAACTTGTCATTTGCAAGTGAACACTGAAACTTAGAACACTGAAACTTACCATTTACAGGTGAACACTGAAACTTACCATTTAGGCAACATGTCTGTCTGCCAGTCATGGTTCTAAATGCTCCACTCTCGAGAAATCACTGAGGCCTTAAGAATGAGCTCAACAGAATTGTTCCCATTTCACAGATAATGCAACTGAGCCTCAGAAAGGTTAAGGGACTTGCACTGGGAATGGGCATTCCAATCCAAGTTAGTCTTACTCCCAAGCCCCTGCTCATGCCACTATCCTGGAAGTTTCTGAAGGTGCTTGGGAAAGTGGACTGATTTGGGATCAAGTGGTTCTGAACCACATCTGCACTGGGCCGGGCTGCTGTAGCTTATGGGATATGGAATACCTGGAGCCTTGCCTAGTTTTTTCAATTTTTGGTTCAGTGTTTACCTCATGCCACACCCAGCTCCCAACCTTGAGCTCAACCAGGTATAAAGAGCTAATGGGGGAATCCCTGGCTTTTAAAATCCACTGCCTGAAGGTATGGGAGTTAATGTGTAAGCCCATTATCCGATGGCCTGAGCAGAGGGGAATGGAAGCAGCAGCAGATGGTTCATTGAGCAATCAAGACTGCAATTCTGTGTGGCGGAGGCAGCGTGTTTTCCCAACTTACAGGAGCCAGTCGACAGCAATGATGAGGGTGACATCCTCAGCGGGCAGGCCCACAGCGCTCAGCACGATCACCATGGTCACCAGGCCGGCCTGGGGTACACCAGCAGCTCCTATGCTAGCAGCTGTAGCAGTGACACTGTAGCCAAAACACATGGCAGGAAAGGAGTTAGACACGCGCTGCTCCCTCCCCAGAACAGTGAGTCCCAACAACTGGGGCTACTGTGTCCTCCCACATGGCTGCTCAAAGTGGCTCTGTGAGCACCAGCTGTGCCTCATTCTAAGATGAGCTGTGGGGGCCGAGAGGGCCATGTCTTTCCAGGGGGACATAAAGCACAGAGGCCGAGCAGAATCACATCAGTGGCAATAAAAAATGAACAAAAGAGATATTCAAGATGAATGCAAGAGTGAGCTTTTATGGACTTGGATGGTTCACTGGTAGAATCCTTGTCATCCAGGCAGGAGACCCAGATCCGATTCCCGTTCACCTCCACAGCCAGCATTGGCCTGTCTGTGAAGGTCTGTGTTGTTAGGGTCCTGGACAGGTCTCAGCAGTACTTCCAGATGGAGGCTGGCTTGGAACAAAGCTAATGGACTTCTGAAAACCCTAAGAGTCACATGTTCCTGTTTCAGTTGATCACGTGGCTGGTGCAGGCCCATGCAGCGTTCTGTTAGTTGTTCATGGGTCGTCATGAGTTGGGGGCTGGCATTATGGTAGCTAACAACAACAACAATGCATTTTAAAGACCCATGTTGGGTAGGATAAAATAATGGCATTTTTCCTTCCAAATATGCAGTTCCTTACCAGCAATGTCTTCCTTATTTAAACGGGGTCATTCTGGAAACAGCAAGAGCTTGTCATTCCTCAGAAAATGACTTGGGTGAGCCTGGGGGACGGGACACCCACCTGACAGTCTGTAGAAATGGTCCATGTCCCCACCACCCTTGGGCTAAGGCCTGAACTCCCACCAGGATGCTACTTGGTTGAAGGGTGGAGATGTGGTGTGGTGATGTGCCATGAGTTGGTTCTGACTCATTGCGACCCTGTACAGGGTTTCTGAGGCCACAAATCTTTATGGAAGCATAAAGCCTCATCTTTCTCCCACGGAGCCACTGGTAGTTTTGAACTGCTGACCTTGAGGTTCGCATCCAAATTTGTAACCACTTTGTAACCAGAGCCCCTTGGGTGGAGATGTAGGAGCTGTCAAATTAAACTAATTCCTGATGTTATCAAAAATCCATGTTCTGTGGGTTCAGAAGGCCTGAGGTCCTCCAGATGGCTTTGCACCCTGTCACCCACCCTCCCATGATGTGTACAGGCATATCTGAGGGACAAATGCAGCCCCGAGCCCTTGGATGAGTCGGTGATGGTAAGTTAGCGATTCCTGCTGTACCCATCCCTCTAGAAGCTTGGGGGCAGCATGATTCTGGAGGTGTGTTCTGACCTAGTACTTTTTGGATGACTCCAGTTCATTCCAACACTGGCTGAAAAATGTATACAGACAGCAACAGCATGGGCAGGTTTTCTCTGTCAGAGTGATTCATGACCCTTTGGTGCTTCTTTGAAACCTGTCCTGGTTGATTGAGCTCCCCCTGACTTGAGGCTGGAAACTCAAAACCCAGTTTGTCAAGAAACACTCTGCCCATGGGCCTTGATCTTACTTGCTGGAACCTACTGCCCTCAAGTCCATTCTGACTCACAGCGACCCTGTATATGGTTTCTGAGGAGCGCCACCTTTCGGTTCACATCCACCTTTGTGGTCCAATGTTTATCCTACAGCACCACACCAGGATTCCCTGTAAACCCTGTGGGGCAGGTGTACTCTATCCTATAGGGTCAGTGGGTCTTTGGTTTGGTTGTTGTTCGTTACCACCAGTTCTAACACATGGTGATCCCCAGTGTGCAGGGTAAAACTGCTCCAGAAGGTTCTGGAATCAGACCACCACACCTGTCTTTTGAGGCACCTCTGGGTGGTTTGACCTGTCAACTTTTCAGTTAGTAGTCAAGTGCTTAACTATTTATGCCCTTGGGGACTCTCCTATGATAGCACGGCACTATAAATCCTCCAGTGGGCAAAACAGTATGAGAGCCTGCTTCTGGCTACATCACTCACTGCATTCTAACTTTGGGGGACTTTACGGTAGAAAAACACAAATTACAGTTCAAGGCTTCTTTCCTAGTTTTCCGACAGGTCCCTTAACTCAGCTGTCCAAGTAGGTAGGAGAGTTACTGAGAGACAGGGCTGGTCATGCCTTCTGTGAGGGTTCCAGGAGACAGTCCACACAGCGTCCAGGGCAGCGTCTCCCATTACTATTGGGGCACCAGCGGCTGCTCCTACTGCAACACTGTGTGGCGGCCACTAGTACTACAGCGGCTTCCGATGCTGCGACAACTGTTAATAGTTGTCATAAGTGACCACAACCCGTACACTACCTCTGCTCTTACAATCACAAGAATTAGAACTCCGGGTAACATTCCTACACCTGTGACCACCACCGTTCCTGCTGCTGTGAGGATTACAACTTCAACTGCTACCACTGTAACAACTACCCTATTGCAACCACCACCACAACGGCTTCTACTCTTACGACAACACTCACTTCTGCTGCTGTTGTTGTTATGTGCCGTGGAGTTGGTTCCGACTGACAGCGACCCTGTACAGGGTTTCTGAGGCTGTAAATCTTTACAGGAGTAGAAAGCCTCATCTTTCTCCCGCGGAGCAGCTGGTAGTTTCGAACCGCTAACCTTGTGGTTCGCAGCCCGATTTGTAACCACTACGCTACCAGGGCTCCTTGCACTTCTGCTACATGACTCCAATTAGCATCACCACAGTTGCTGTTACTATGGTCACTACAACTTTGTTACTATGGTCACTACTATTAAGGAGCTCTGGTAGCGTAGAGGTTACGAATTGGGCTGTGAACCGCAAGGTCAGTGGTTTGAAACTACCAGCTGTTACGATGGAGAAAGATGAGGCTTTCTGCTCCCGTAAAGATTTACAGCCTCGGAAACCCTGTACAGGGTCGCTGTGAGTGGGAACCGACTCCACAACACATAACAACAACAACTATTAAGGAGCTCTGATAGCGTGGTTACGAGTTGGGCTAGGTTAGCAGTTCAAAACTTTATCAGCTGTTCCGGGGAAGAAAGATGAGGCTGTCTGCTTCCATCAAGATTTATAGGAGTCCTGGTGTGATGCTGTGGGTTAAAGTGCTGGACTGCAAAGTTGGTTTGAACTGCAGGGTTGGTGGTTCAAGCTCACCAGCTGCTCCTAGGAAACCCTATACAGGATCGCTATGGGTCAGAACTGACTGGTGGCTCTTCACAACAATAACAACAAAGATTTACAGCTTCAGAAACACTATGCAGGGTCGTTAGGAGTCGGAACCAACTCCTGGCACACCACCTCCTTCACTACTATTATCACAACTACTGCTACTGTTAATAATCTACCATAACCGCCTCGGCTGCTCTTACCACGACAACAGTTACAACTCCTGCTGTGGCTACAATCGCTACAATTACAGCGCTGTCACTATTAGTACAACTGCTGCTGCTACCATGGTTACGAAAACAACTACAACGACCACCACTGCTAACCATGACTCCTACCACTCCTAGAGGGGCTTCAAAAGGTTCACGGACTAACTCCAATATCTCTTCATTCCATCTTCCACAAACTTGCTGAAGCCCCCTCACATGCATCCTGTTTTCTCTAGGCTCCGAATCCTGTAATGATCTTTCGTTACATACAGCAACATCTATCCCGTGGTTTAATCACCTTCAGTCTTTGATAAGTGAATATTATAATAAAACCACAAAAGGGTTGTTTTAGGTGGGTGGTGTCTGTTTCTTTGATGTCCAGCCCAAAGAGACCACAGGAAGACCTATATCATGGGTCTAAAATCTCTTCAATCATTAGCCACGTCAGTATAATCTATAAAGGTAAAAATAAATTTTACTATCCCTTTCTCTCCCAGGTAGAGCCAGAGAGGAGTATTTTTTTAAGTTAATGATTACTCTGGGTCCCTTGGGGGTGGTTCTGACTTTGGACAAGTTGTTGCTTCTGAGAACTGGAGAGCCGATCGGCTCAGAGCATCCCTGAAGGACAAAGAACTGCTCCATGGGCTTTCCTAGGAGGTAAATCTTTACGGTCTTTTCAATCATGGAGCCACCGAGTGGGTTCGAACTCTGAACTCTGAGTTAGCACCCAAGTGCTTAACCATTGTGCCACCACGGCTCCTTTCTGAGCTAGTCTAGTTTAGCATCTACATCAGAGTAGAAAGATGTTTTTAGGTGAAATGAGGTTAAAGCTTATTCCTCTTAGCAGTCAGGGTTAAAAAACAGATCCAAGAAACATATGACTAAGGCCCAAACCGAAAAACCCAAATCTGCTGCCGGTGACTCAACTGTGACTCAGAGCAGGACCGAATGGAACTGCCCCAGCGGTCTCCAAGGCTGTCATCTTTACGGAAGCAGAGGGCCCCATCTCTGTCCCATAGAGAGGCTTTCAGTGCGTAGCTGAGCACTTAACCACTGTGCTACCAGGGTTCCTGACAAAGGCAGAGGGAGGGAATTCATCATAAAGTGGCAAATACAAGAACTCATTGGAAATCACGGTCCCAGATTAGGGTTGTTAACTCATTGTTACGTGTCGTCGAGTCGGTTCCGACTCACAGTAACTCTGTATAGAGCTGGTGAGCTTGAACCGCTGACCTTGTGGTTCAAACAGACTTTGCGGTCAAGGTAAGAGATGAGAAAATGCCCTTGGAAATGTGACGAGCCAATGCTGGAACTGAAATGGTCTCAGGCCTAATTCCAGGTTTCCACAGTAAACACTGTCTGCTGGTGTAACTACAAACCCTCTTGGTCTGGGCTTCTCTAGCCGTGGGCACCCTTGGCAGATTATACAGCAGTATGACAGACTGAGGGTCAGCCAAAAAGTATTGCTTCTAACGTTCCAGTTCATACATGCACAGGTTTATTCCAAACAAAACGGTTCAATCGTGTTTCTGTAGTTACTGGATGGTAGCTGGCAAATTCTCTCAGTAAAAGACTTGTCTTTGTCTCGTTGTTGTTGTCATGTGCCGTTGAGCTGGTTCTGACTCATAGCAACCACATTTGAACCACCAGGTTGATGGTTCAAACTCACCAGTTGGAAACCCTGTACAGGGTCGCTATTGAGTCGAACTGAGTCGATGGCTTTAACAACAACACTGAGAGGCTGGTGCCTTGGAAGAAAGGCCTGGTGATCTGCTGGCCACAGCCCAGCCCGACCCGAGCCACGAGAGTGAAGTTCTTCCCTGTAACACCAGGAATCAGAACTGACTCGGTGACAACTGGTTTAAAGCTCTGATGGTGCAGTGGTTACAGCCCTCCACTGCGATCTAAAAGGCAGTTCAAACCCACCAGCCGCCTCATGGGAGAAGGTGAGGCCGGCTGTGTCTGCAGACTGACGGGCTTGGAGACCCACTAGGGGCAGCTCTACTCAGCCCTATACGGTCACGACGGAATCAGAACCAATTCATTAGCAATGGATGTTTTGTTTCGTCTGACATCCCCAATCTTTCCAGTACCCTTGAAAGCAGGGGCAGGCCCTGACTCAATCCTACTCAGTGTCTAGTACCTATGGGTACACCGAACTGCCTTTGGTTGACCAGATTCTGGGGCAGAGCTCCTGAGGACCACCATCCCACTACTTCCAAACAGCGGGTGGGGGGTGGGGGGCTGGGGAATGGGGACTCTGTAGGCCAAGATCAACACCCACTGCTGGGCCATTCTCGCCTCCCTACAGACAGTGCTCCACAGGAACATCTTACCTGATGGTGATGATCTGCCCGACGCCCAGCTCCAAGTCATTCAACTGGGCAATGAAGACAGCGGCCACTGCCTCGTAGAGCGCCGTCCCGTCCATGTTGATGGTGGCCCCCACGGGCAGCACGAACCGCGTGATTCGCTTGTCCACCTGGTTCTTCTCCTCAGCACAGCGGAAGGTGACAGGCAGTGTTGCCGAGCTGCGTGACAAGAGGAGAGAGGCATTATGGGCAGGCTGGGGCTCCTTAGGCCCTCTTTCCACCCAATGTGGATTTAGAAGCCAGAAGGTGCCATGTCTGTTACTGGTCTTTGTTAAACCATCACTGATCCTGGGCTGCTAGCCATGCTGGGCAGGCAGGGACGGTTCCACAGGACCAGGGAACTGGATGGAGAACATGGACTGAGGGGACCATGAGCTGGGGCCGGGGCTCCGTAGTGAGGGGAGAGTAGGTGAGGCTTCCCACTCACCTGGAAGAGATCATGAGCGCCGTCAGCAGCGCCTGGGCCATTCCCATGGCGAAGCGGAAAGGATTCTTTCTCACAACTATGAAGTATATCAGTGGCAGGATGATGAGGGAGTGGATTGCAAGTCTGCAGGCAGGAGAGGTTCAGTCGTGAATACTACCACCTCCTCACACTCCATCCTTTCTCCGTTCAGCTTTTCGACTCATACTACTATCCAACTTTTCCTCCTGACTGGAGGGCAGGACAGATATCTAGGGCCCCGGCTGCACCCCACAGTATGAGGATGTAGTAGATGAAATATTTTGTCAGTTACTGGCTACACATGGTTACATGTTGGTGAGGCCACCAACTGCTCTGTGTGCTGCTCCTGCGACCCCCAAAGTTAGCTGCTGCCTTCTTCCCCTGCCTCCTCTAAGGTGGCGCAATGGTTAAGCATTCAACTGCTAACCAAAAGGTTGGCTGTTCGAACCCACCAGCAACTCCATGGGAGAAGACCTTGTGCTCCGCTCCCATAAAGATGGCAGCTTAGGAAACCCTGTGAGGCAGTTCTCTGTCACCTGGGGGCGCTGCTGAGTCAAAGTGACTCAATGGTACTCAACAACCACCACCTCCAAGGCTCAGCTAACAGCCTCCTCCCTCGGAAGCCTTCCCTCCCTGGTCAACCCCTCACAAATCCCATGATGATTGCTACTCCAGCATCTGTCTCGTACTACATCCACCTCCCACAAGGGAAGTCAGGGTCTCAGGAGGGAAGTCCCTAGTTTCCACAGTCAGACTTCAGAATTGATCCTAAAGTAGCTGTATCATTTCTGCCACCCAGTATCACCCCTTGGCTCATACGAAAATCTACCTGTGGCACAAATCAGGGGTTGCCATCAAATCCTGGTGTGGTGCTAAGGGTTAATGTTCTGGACCGTAAGGTCAGTTTGAACCACAGGGTTGGTGGTTCAAGCTCACCAGCTGCTCCTTGGAAACCCTATACAGGGTCGCTATAGGTCTGAACTAACTTGACGGCACTTGACAACAAATACAACATCAAGTCAATTTGGACTCACAGAGCCGCTGCTGCACAGACTAGACCTGCCTCAGGGGGCTTCTAGGTTATATAGTCTTTGCTGAAGCAGACCACCATCTCTTTCTCCCATGGAACAGCTAGTGGGTTTGAACCACTAACCTTTCAGTAAGCAGTTGAGTATGTAACCACTGTGCTCCCAGGACTCCTTTAGGAAATGAGATGGCATATCTATACCCCAAAGGGCTGAAAGCAGGGCCCAGTGCTCACCACAGTATTCACTGGAGCCAAAGCGCTAAAACAGTCCAAGTGTTGGACACAATGCGACAGTAAAGGGGCTCACTGCGCTTTTATGAAGGACGATGAAAAATCTGACTATGGATCGTGGTGATGGTGTTACAACAAGATGAATGGAATTCACGCCCCTGAATTCGACACGTTACAAATGTTGACATAGCAAGTGTTTCCATTATTGTTTGGTTTCATTTGTCCGTGACCTTTTTGCAGCCATATAATACACACACACATAGGGATTCCTTGTGTGGCACTGTTGAATCAGCACTGGACTGTGAACCACAAGGTTGGTAGTTCAAACCTACCAGCTACTCCTTGGAAACCCAATATAGGGTAGCTCTAAGTCAGAACTGGCTTGACAACACTTAACAATAACACACATAATATAAACAAGCACTCATATACTCATATAAATTCACACACACATATTCACCATAATAAAAATGTGGTATATACACACACTGGAGTGCTGTTGTTGTGTGCCATCGAGTCAGTAACCCTGTATAGAGTAGCAGAAAGCCTCATCCTTCTTCTGTAAAGCAAGCAGGGGATTTGAACCTGGGGCTTACATTCCAATGCATAACCCACTACAAGACCCAAATTCCAATGGAGTATTACTCAGCCATAACAGGAAAGATCCTTGGAGACCAGGATGGACGGACTTGGTCTCTCATACTTTGGACATAGTGTCTGGAGAGACCAGTCCCTAGAGAAGGATATCATGTTTGGTAAAGTGGAGGGTCGGAGAAGAAGCGGACGACCCCTAACAAATTGGATTGGCACAGGGGCAGCAGTGATGGGCTCAAATGTAACTGTGATTGTGGGTTGTCACAGGACCGGGCAGTGTTTTGTTCTATTGTGCATATGGTCACTATGAGTCAGTGCTGACTCGATAGCACCTAACAACATCAGAAAAGGAATGGAGTCCTGACCCACACTACAAACATGGATGAACCTTGAAAACACCATGCTGAGTGACAAAGTCAGATACAACACGATAAACAGTGTATTAGCCCACTCAGAAGGAGCTTCAAAATTGCATAGGAAAATGAATGGAAAGATGATGGAATTTCCCCACCAACCTTTGAAATCCCCCTTGCATATGACATCTCTGGAGTAGGCAAATGCACCGAGGGTAGAATTTTATTAGTACTTCCCAGGGCCCGGGAAGGGGGAGAACGAGGAAGTATTGCTTGGTGTTAGCGAGTCTCCGTTTAGATGGAAAAATTTGGAAAAGGACAGAAGGTTGCGTGGTAATACAATGTTGCTGAAGTGTATGTTTAACGGTTAAAATGTCAAACTTTTTTCCTTTCTTTTTCTTAAAACATTATTTTTTCACTGTGGTGAAGATGTTTTCGTAAGTGCTGTCGAGTCAGTTCTGACTCATAGCGACCCTGCATATGGTTTCCAAGGAGTGGCTGGTAGGTTTGAACAACCAACCTTTTGGTAAGCAGTCCAGTTTATCCTACAGTGCCCCACCAGGACTCCATGGTAAATACATCGTTTGCCCATTCAACACTGTTCAGATGTACGACTCAATGATACCAACTGTGTGTATCCTGTTGTTCAACCATAAGCATCGTCTTTCTCCCAAATTTTCAAGATGGCAAACGTTTGTTACATATATTTTACCACAAGAAACACTTCAGAGAAAAAGACAAGATGCAGCATTTCTAAATGACATTTACAAACAGGCTTTGAAAAGTTTGCGGAAAAACTGGAATGAATAGATCGTAGAAGTCCCTTGGGCTATTGAAGAACAACTTAAGAGTTAATGGGTCACTTGTGGTATGTCACCATGGAGTCTGGGGGCTTGGGAGGGAGCGGAGAGTCTCCTAGATCGGGAACTTCAGAACTGTGAGGAACAAACTCAGAGAATGGACTTCTACCGAGTCCATTCTGACCCGTGGCGCCCTCATGTGTGCAGAGAACTACTCCACAGGGTTTCCATGTTCTGAGGAGCCTCTGAGTGGGCTAGAACCACCAACTCTTCAGCTAGTGTTCCAGCATTTAGCTGTCTGAGCCCCACAGAGTCTCCACAGAAACCTAGAGAGGACCAGTGAGTAGAAACTCAAGAACGTCCTCACGGAATGGCTCAGGAACGGTCCAGCCCAGCCTGACAGAGCTCTGAAGAGATCAACAGTCCTGCCTTCTCCTCACGCCTGGCCTGGGGACTTGGTTCCAGCCCTGGCACAGGAGGAACCCAGGCTGCTTTTGTGGGTAAATACAGGTGGACAAGCATATGGCATGCAACGGGAATGCCCACAGGCACTCAAGTTCCAATCGGTGGCTGGATTGCTGAAGTCGGTGATTGGGTCACTCACCTATGGGCATTGAATCAGTGATCTTTATTCATTCCCTTCATTAATAGTTCTTATTAACATGTGATGTCTCCTGGCCCAGACTCGGTGTTTTAAGTCAGTACAATTCACAACCTTCCCAGCACATCTTCCCCCAAACTCAAACCAACCTGCTATCATCGATTCGATTCTGACTCCAGCCACCATATAGCACAGAATAAACTGCTCCTTAGGGTTTCTGAGAGTGTAGATCCTGACAAAAGCAGACAGCCTCCTCTTTCTCCTGCTGACAGACTTGTGGGTTTGAACTTCCAGCCTTTAGGTCAGCAGCCCAATGCTTAGGCCAGAGTGCCACCACGGCTCTTCAAGGAACCTGTAACTGGGTTGTAACTGACAGGCAAATGGCCCATTCCCTGCTGCCTGACACATTTCCTACTAGCTGATGATGTGCCCAGCACCCGCTTAGGCACACTGTTGATACAAGGTATGGAGCTACCCAGCCCCAGCAACTAGGTCTGACCCATTCAGTCCTCTGCTCTTCCCCACTGCAGTCCGATTTCATCTGTTGTTGTTAAGTGCCGTCGAGTTGGTTCCAACTCATAGTGACCCTGTCTGATTTCATTTAGGCCCTGCTAAATTTCTTTTGATTTGATTAATGTGTTTGGCTGCTAAACTAAAGGTTGACAGTTCAGGTTCACTTGGAGGCGTCTCAGAAAAAACACCTGGCGATCTGATTGTAAACAACCAACCACTGAAAACCCCAGGAGGCACAAGTTCCCTGACACACGAGTTCAGTCAAGAGTCTACGTGACCGCAAGTAGGATCAAAATGTCTTTTAGGCTCCGGGCACACGGGGCCATTCTTACAGGCTTATGTGCGTGTCTGCTTTACCTTGTACAGGAATGAAGGCCAGAAGAGAGCCAGCAGAGACAACCAGAAGGGTTTTGCTGTGATTTTCAGTAAGACTTTAAATACATCCAGTAAAGGTGGCGATGAAGGCTGGCCCAGGCTGTTCTTCCAGGAGCTGGCGATGAGCACAGTGGGATCTGCCCACCACACAGCTGCTAAAGGGTAGCCCCCTCCCATGCTCTTCTCTCTGAACCCCATCTTCCCTAGCAGCCTGGAATAAAGCCCATTTTCACCAGCTGAAGCCAAACTTTCAGTAGCACCCACAGACTCAGATGAGGGCCATGACACGTACCCACTCATGACTGTGGCCATGTACAGACCCAGCTTGCGGAATATCTCCCAGTCCTCGACTTCGATGATCTTCCCAGCTATCAGGAACAGAATCCCAAGTGGCATGTAACTAGAAAGCAAGCAGAGGAAAGACACATGTCCGTGACCTCGTGGTGTCTCAGTGGGGGCCGTTGGGGAAGGACCAAGTCAGGGTGCAGGGTTCACTTGGCTTGGAACGTATGTCCAGCCAGGAGGAGCACGGACGGCTACAGCATGAGACCCCGGTCTCAGGCTCAAGCCCTGGGTGACCGCGCTGGCTTGTTTTCTGTCCTGGTGGGCACCTTAATGTCTACCATCCAATCTATCATAAGAGTCCTGGTGTGGCACTGTAGGATAAGCTGGACTGTCAACCATAAGGTCAGTGGTTCAAACCCACCAGCTGCTCCTCGGAATCCCTATGTAGGGTCGTTATGACCTAGAACTGACTCAATGGCACCTACCATAAAGAGGCAAACTTGGCAAGAATGTGAGGTGTCTCACTGGTGCCCCAGTTTCCAAACCTCCTGCTGACCAGCACATCAGCAGGTCCCTCTTTAGCTTGACCCTCACCTTCAAATGTGGACACTTAGCTCTTTATAGCCATGTCATTTTGTTTCCCAGGTAGTCACATCCAGGAGCATCCCTGGGTTGCACAAATGGTTAATGTGCTTGGCTGCTAACCAAAGGCTGGGGGTTCGAGCCCACCCAGACACCTTGGATGAAAGCCATGGCTACTGACTTCCAAAAACCAGCCACTGAAAACTCTCGGGAGCCCAGGTCTGCTCTGACACAAGCATGGCAGCTCCATGAGCTGGGATCCCATCAATGGCAACTGGCTACTGTTGTTGTTGTTGTTAAGTGCCGTCGAGTCGGTTCCGACCCATAGCGACCCTGTGTAGGGTTTGTGAGGAGAGGCTGGTGAGTTTGAACCACTAACACTGTGGTTAAAACTGACCTGGTGGGCCAGGGCTTGATCCCACAGTGCTGGTTCTGGTTAGCATCCACATTAGGCATCATTAGGAGTGGAAATGGTTTAACGCTGTATGTGTGGAGTACATGCTGCATGGGGCGCAGTGGGTTAGTGTACCTAACACGCTTCATTGCATGTAATGTCCTTCTCCCAACTCTGGGAGTTGGTTGTTTGGTCCATTCTTTTTTTTTTTTTTTTTTAAATTTATCAATTATATAATGAGGTTCTTTCTTTGTAAGAAATCTGGAATACTAATTTGTGAGGATAAATTCCATTTGTGAGAGCAAACATAGCACACAGGTAACCTTGGAGCTGGGGAATGGCTTGGATTTTTGGCATAATTTGTGAGTTCACAGCTTTCTGATCCCCTTTGCGCTGCTCTGTAACCTCGTATTTCTCTTTCTCAGTGTCGAAGATCTCGCCTTCTTGGTGCCTGGGCTTCCGCAGCTTCTTCTTGAAGTAAGCATCCGTGAGATGTTTGGGGACCTTCACACCACTGATATCAATTTTGGTGGAGGTGGCAATGACAAATTTCTGGTGTGTTGTATGCAGAGGAACTCGATTGAGGGACAGAGGTCCAGTCACAAGGAGCAAACCACTGGCCAGCTGCTTCAGGAAAACCACTCTCTTGCCTTGATGGCGTCCAGTGAGGATGATCAGAATGGTCCCAGGAGTGATGCTAGACCGCAGTCTTCTGACATGCTGACTGAAGGGTTTTTTGCCGTGGCTCAACAGTTTCCTAGGCACATCTTCAGTTGGGTAATACCTAGGCATTTTGTGCAGTTTAGCCACTCGGGTACCACCATTCTTGTCACCACCAACTGGCTTTGTGACAGTAGCAAGAACCTTCTCCTTCTTTTCAACCCTGGATTTAGCAGCTGGATACTTCCTCTTGTACATGGCCTTTCTAGAATACATGGCCGATCGGGAATACCTGACAATTCCTCGGACTAGGACAGGATTTCGGCTGCAGTGTGGCTTCCCCTGCTTGGGTTTTTTGCCCTTGAGTTAGTCTTCTTAGCTTTGCCACTGGCATTTGCTTTTTTGACTATAGGCTTCTCCACCTCGGTAGGAGGCTTCTCAGCCTTTTCACCCGCCATCTTGCAAGATGGGAAGGAGCGGTTGTTTGGTCCATTTTACAGATGGTGGAGCTGAAGTTCAGCAGGATGATGTGACTGTCGGGTTCATGTCCCTCTGTATCACTGGCAACATCTACACACTGGACACAAAATATGCTAGAGAACAGAGCCACTGTGAGCAAAATGAGCCCAGGTGTTCCAGAGCAGGTGGCTGCCCTAGCATGTCCAGGGCCAGCGCCGATACTGGGACGTGTCCACTCTCACTAGCAGCTTCCATTTGGATGTGTCTGTGCCCACGCTGTGGCTATTGGGCATATTCTGCCTGGGGCCCTGTGAGGAGTGCCCTGTGTTCTGAGATGTCACTTCACACGTGGATGCTTGCTAGGTGCAATACAAGCTCCTACAGCTGAAGTTTCCATGTCTATCAGTGAGCTAACCCCTAAAGCATACGTGGGGCTAGTTAACACTCTAGGGTCTTGATAGAGTCCTTGGGTAGCGCAAACTGTTAACATGTTCGACTGCTAACCTAAAAGTTGGCGGTTTGAGTCTACCCGGAGAGACCTCAGAAGAAAGACCTGGAGGTTTACTTGTGAAAAAAATGAGCTGCTGAAAACCCTACGGCGCCTCCGCACTTGTACTCTGATACACACAGGGTTTCCCTGAATTAGAACAACATGGTTGTTGTTGTTGTTAAGTGCCGTCGAGTCGGTTCTAACCCATAGCGACCCTGTACAGGGTTTCTGAGGGTGTAAATCTTTACGGGAGTAGAAAGCCTCATCTTTCTCCCGCGGAGTGGCTGGTAGTTTTGAACCTCTGACCTTAAGGTTCGCAGCCCGATTTGTAACCACTACGCTACCAGAGCTCCTTAGAATGACATGGTGGCAACTGGTTTATTTTTTAGTGTCTGCTTATGAAATGTCTCGCCTCTCTGCAGCGAGGTTAGTTGGATTAGATAATCACCTTCTTTCAAATTCTGAGGAAACAGTTGTCAGGGAAATCTATTGTTGGTAGGTGTCATTGAGTCAGTACCAACTCACAGTGACTCTATGCACAACCGAATGAAACACTGCCCGGTCCTGGGTCAGCCTCACCATTGTTGCCACTCCTGAGTCCACTGATGCTGCCACTTGGCCAATCCATCTCACTGGGGTCTTCTTCTTTTTCTCTGACCCTCCACATTACCAAACATGATCTCCTTCTCCAGCGACTGGTCCCTCCTGATACTAGGTTGGAACAGGGAACCTGAGATGAGGGTCAAACACTGTTTGCTCACCACATAATGATCTGCACAATTTTCATGGTTGCATCACTCAACGCATTGAAGAAATCCACCAAGACTTGTCCTTTTTCTCCCATTTTCCCAATGACAATTCCAAAGACAAGGCAAAAGACAATGAGGCCCAGGACATTGATGCCATCTGAGTACATGCCCACGACTTTGTATTCCTTCGTTCTGTTCTGTGGATAAAAGTCAAGACAAGAAACATGTTGGTATGTGATGTTAATTTCTTCAGAATGCACAGGCCCTGGAGTGAAGACATGGGTCATCAAACATCACAAATCAGGCACAGTCAACAATTCTTTAGGAAACATGGCTAGAAACATGGCAAAACAAAACCATGCATGCAGTTTATCTTACCTGCTCAATTTACCTTTAAGGGATTTTTTTACTTAAAAAAAATTTTTTTTAAGGTTTTTATTTTCATTGTGGATTGAGTGAAAGTTTACAGAGCACATCATCAGTTTCATATTCAACAATTCATATAACTTGTTTCATTACATTGATTATAATCCCCTCCATATACCATCAGTTAAAAGTATTTCTCTCTATCTACTTTAGC